GCATACCAAAGGCAAAGCCTTTGTTGGCAGATCATAACATTTCATAGTAATTTATTGGACGCATATGCCTCAGCGGGATTCGTGGACAGACCGCTTCAAGTGGTGAAGTTTTTTCCCCGGAAAAATTTTAGGAATAAACTAAAATGTGTACGTTTTCGAGAGCTTATATTGAAGCCATGGACAACAATCGGTCTGTATTTACAGTAGCGACAGACTTCTGAGAGGCGAGAACCCTTGTCTAGCAGATTCACTGTGCAGCTAGCCTGTTTCAAACACCCTACCCGCGATAAGGAAAAACCTATGAGCTCACCAACGATATATTTGAAGAGATCGCCTCATCAACCATCCCCAATCAACAGCCTAATCAACAATTGAAATCGTTTAGTGAATCGTTGGAATCGAGGAAGATTGTTTAGAGCATTCACGTTCTGCTCATTTACGCAAAGCCTATAAAAAAATAGGCCACTTGAAGCGAACTACACTTGCGTTCTACGTGATCTGGTTCAACACCAGTTCATACTGGGTTCCAGCAATGAACAATGTTCATGAATCATTAATAAACAATACATACTAGTTGGAAATATACTGAAGTGATTCAGTAGTCTAGGCTACCAAATGAGCTACTATTTTAATAATAAGAATTGGGTAATTCCAATTTATTTTGACACCTTACACACTAACGCGTACACAAACTTCCACATCGTGCGTATTAATCGTAGACTGTATTATGTTCTTAATGTACCTTAACGTACTAAATTAAAAGGGAATTTCCGATAGAAATTTCGTTTCAGCACGACGATTGCATATGTGTTCCCTTCGGGTCTGTCGTGTCCTGGATCAGTTCAAGAACGCCATAGCTTCTATCGGTCAGCATCAAAAGCATTCGTACGAGATTATGACAAAGGAATCAACGTTTATCTCCGCGAGCTCTCCAGACACCTTTGAGGTGCACGTGCGAGGCTAATTATAGTATTAAATCAACATACTATAATAAATATGAACGAAACATTAGCGCTTGTCATCTATATGTAATCGTTGACAGTATATATCGGAAACCGAGAGGAAAATGAAGTACAAAGTGGTGTAGTTGAAAGATATATCGCAGTGACTACAAAAAGTGAGTGCGTCGGATACGGGCTGAAACCAGTTTTGCAAGTACTGATACCACTTAAGCATGCAGACTTTTATAGTCACCATTAATCTGAGGGTTAATTACGTTACGCCAATTAGTTTTCACTGTCCCTATTCACCTGCTGACCCCTTCGTTCTCTGAACTTCTCCAACGTCTCGGCGTTCTTCTGCAGTATCGCTTTCTGGAGGTGAAGTTTTCGTGAGATTTTTAACGCATTTCTCAGTGTTGTGCACAGTTCTCCTTTCAACCGATCGAACGTACCGTTCGCGACTAATCTAACACCAAGGCTACTCAGAAATGTACGATGCGTATCCTAAAAAGTTGACCTAAACTTAATGATTTGCTCCTGAGGACTTTTTATATAAACATCGTTTGTGGGCGTGTAGTCTGTCCAGGACATCGCATAATTGGCCCGCTGTACGAGCGATTGTTCTCATTGCTCATCTGCGAAGGAACACCGAATGTAAGCTACCTTTTTTTTCTGCTTTTCTAGTGCTTCGTAGTGAGGCGTGACGTACTCTTTCGACTTCTAACTACAGCTTTTTCGTCTTAGTTCTTCCAGGTTATCATTTCTTGCCTTTGAACCTCATTTGTTACTGTATGGTTGCCCTGGCCAATCTTTCATTGGTACTTAGGTAATGACAAAAAAACCGACGGTAGTGGATTCGTGGTGCACCCATTGTCTACGATTTTCCTTTTCCTGGATACTTCGTGAAGAGGGAATACAAACCCTTGTTCGTATAAAAACTCCGAATGAGTGCTATTGTATGCTGTAATTAACTCATTTGAAAGCTTCCAGCCAAGATGAAACATACTGGCTGACATGCTATAAGACTAAATTAGGTTACACCGATAATCGTTGAAAATCTATTTGCCTATTTAGTCTAGATACTCAAGCTGGTCAGAAGTACATCTATATATGTATATACGCATTTCGATTTTAGAGCCGAACCAATCGGCACTAGATTTCTACGCTAACAATAGTTATACCATTGTAAAATACCACACTTTACCATCGTAAAATATAATAGCTGATTGCAGCCAATCATTGACGGGTAAAATGCTCATGTAACATTAACATTTTGCAAGTGTAACCAGCTGCGACAAAACCAGGCGAATCAAATCGTAGGTCTTCAATCAGGCATACTAATGAAGAATGACAAGGCGACAGCTCTCATTCTTTGCGAAACCTTAGATATAAAAACATGCAAGCTACATTGTATGACGGCTACTCGTACCACACCTTGTGAATCGCGCATCGCAAGACCAGTGGAAGATATCGTATGTGAGGAAGATATCCCTTTTTTCCGTCGGGCAGCCCGTTATTAATGTCCTCAGGCACGAGTACCTCGTTCTTCCTCACCTTCTCGTGAAACACTTGTAGAATGTTTTGATGACAATTAACGTTCACCACCAGCTTCAAGCTTTCAGTTGATACAAAGATGAAACGATCCTATCGTAGAGACAAAGGTCTCTACCGGCCATTCTATAGATACTGGTAACGAATGTGATCTTGAAAATGCAAGAAATCCTAAATGAAGAAGACGTTTCTTACTCCGTTTTCTAGCTCTTTCATAATATTTTTAGGTACGGTTATTTTTTTACTTCGTTCCATCTCGCAAAGCCCCTCTGTAATGCTCTGGCCATGTTTAGCGCTAACCGCCAGCTTCAAGCCTGCCACTAACTCAAATGTAGCTCTACTGAAGGAACAAACATTGGAAGATGAGGCTTCTACAAAGGCCGAATCGAGCTCTGTGTGACAGAGGGAATGATCTTGCGAACATAGAAGCTGCTTGACTTTCTCGGCGAAGTGGTTGATTTCGAAACCAAGCTTTTGCGCGTCGCGTAAAATGACATCTCGGACTGTTCCACTAATGGGTTCTGCTTGCATGAAACATCCGAAGGTGGCTTGAAGCGCATCGCTGATGTCTTTGATGGATATCAGATGGGGGACGATATATAGGTGGGGAATGACATCAACGGCATAGATAGTACACGCTTGCACACACGACGAAGCCTCTGCTTTATCGTATCGATCGATAGTTAACAAGGCAAGACCTGGCAGTCGAGTATAGTGTACATTTGCTGTCAACACAGACTTGGAAGCGTCGTTTCCTTCATGGCAACGCTCCATTTGTGTGGTCATCGTTTGGATGATCGGCATCATCCGCGTCCAGTCGTCAACACACTGCTTTAACCGTTCTGGATATGGTAGTCTAAAGGTGTCGGTCGCCAAGAACGCCGATTTACTAAAGGCAAACCTATTAAACAAATAGCGTGTCACGGACGGCAGGTTGTCGAGTTGCAAACAGGTGTTTAGAACAAGCTTGGGTATTTGGTGACACTGTCCAGTAGCATTTTTGAGACGCTCCGTAGTCCGGCTTTGGTGACCGAATTCGATGCTGTATTGTTCCAAATATTCACGCAATTGTTGTATGTCCAAATTGTGGGTACAGAATAAAAGTAATGCGGCATATTTTTGAATCAGAGGTTCAGGCTGCGTACTCCAGAGTTGGTCCGCGATGTCGGTGTAGGACGCGGAAATCGGATTATCCTTACTAGGCACTTGTGCACGTTCTTCTTTTGACATGAGCATTCTGGTACTTTTTCAATATCGACAATTACATAAAAACAAAGAGAAATTTTAACTGTTTTACGCAACAGTAACGCAAATATTTCGTGGAAGCGTGATCGTGAAAAATTACCTATGAGTCATGTTATAGGGGCTGGTAACCTTTGTCCAGCTTGATAGAGCAGCTAACCTTACCTATACATCAAACAGTTGTTCGCGTAAAGCGATGCAGTGGCAATGATATATTTACCTGTGAGATGGTCTAGGTTTGAAAGCGGGAGTTGTATACTTAGTTCGTTTCGCGCTGGAAGGAACTAACCGGCCCACACAATACTTGACGGTATCCGACGTTGAACTTAGAACATCCAACATTTGTTCACATTAGTCACTTAATCCTTCCTCGTCATGAGCAAAAAATCTTCACGAACATACTAGTCGACATTAGGCCCATCAAAACTTTTTTCTTTATAAATTCCAAACATTTTAAGATATAAACCCGATCTAATAGCGTTTAAAAGTGTATCCCCTTCATATTTTTAGTTTAATAATGTTTCTATGAAGCGAGTAATTTGATAATCGCTGCGTGTGTATAAAGGCTAGATTTACTGTTGAACAAAAATTAAATGGTGTCATGTCACCGCCGAACTTTGCGCAATCTATGTTTAATTAAAAAAGCCATAGCTTTTTTGTATGAATCGGCTATTTTTAAGAATCTGGCACTTCTATGAATAGATGTAGAAACCGTCGGTATGTTTAGCGTTAGGCTATATATGTAAAAGTGTACATACCCAAACCTTCTGTGATACAAACACAGACCTCTCTTCCCGAAACGATCCTAATCTATTGAATTTTCCCTTTAGACGCGACTATACCCTCAATGTGGCACGGTGTTGAGTTTAACTAGGTCTGTCTATCCCGAAAGGCTGTCGCGTGATATATGACCTGTATCGTGGATGACAACAATGCAAACACGGATGACATCTTCGCCCTATTCTTGTAACTCACTTTTGAAAAATGTCACAATGCCGCGTTATGCGTTTCATTGACACGAGACTCACACAACATGAGATTCTCTCAAAGATTCTCGCAACATACTTATCTTTAGATCATCATTACAGTATACCGTAATACGTTCTCTGTATTATAGGTCAATTCCTCCGACTATCGAGACGGCCATGTTAGTCTACCTAAATTCGGTAACATGTTGAACTTGAAAGAGACACCTGTAGGATCACCGCAATGATCACCCACTTTTAAAAAACACGTGGCATTTTATTACAGTTATTCACGCTCGTCTGAGACGAAATGAGCTTTTTTTCTTGCAGTTTCGACATGGGTCGCTTCTAAAGCTAATTGAGAACCATTGCAAAAGTACACACATACGCCCCGACTCATCGTAGCAGCGCTACTACTACAAACAGCTACGTACCTACAGTCTGCAACTTGGAAACTTGTACAACAGATAATAGATATTTAATAATAGAATCGTTTTACGTACAGTGCTGCCTTCGTTAAGTGTTCATTGTTTCGATGGCTGCCCCTTTCCGGCACGAAACAAAGAGTATCTACGTACTACTACCACATTACGTCACTAAGCGTGCCTAAATTTACTAGGCAAACATGTTACTGCCATTGCGTCATTCCATGAGGACGACAAAGAGTCTACAAATTGCAGCAGAAGGCTCTGCGAAATAACAACGGTAATAGAAGCAATACACTGAATTTCTGATCAAGATTTGTTGAACTTTTACTTCCTGGTACACTAAGACCCCACGAACTATATCACGATAATTCTGATTGATCCGCTTTTGTGTGTGCCAGCAAGCAAAAGCTGCACGTTACCTTCAAAGAGCATATCGCTACTCAACTCACAAATTCGGTTGTGCCAAGCTGTCCATTGCTAAATTCTGTGTATGTCAGAAACCCGTTTCGACGGAAAATCAACGTATTGTACTAAAACATGTACAAGCAGCATCTATCACATATATGAATGACAGCTATAATATTTATCACGTTTATGTCAATAACTTGGTTAACAAATCATATTTGCCGTTAACTTGGCAAGCATGAAGGTATTCATGTCGATAAGAGCTAATCGCGCATGGCTCGCAGTGAAGTATCTGTAAAAACGTATCGGAAGCTTCGGGGCAGTGCTGTCTTGACGACTTCGGATGCTGGTGGAGGAGGGAAAAAAGACGACGACGACGACGACGGGACGCTTCTTAGGGAGCAACGTAGCAGCTAGCACGAAAAGCGTCGCATGCGTTTTCATGCTAACGCTATGTACGGGCTGCTACTGGTATGTAAGCATATAATTATTACCAAGGATGATGGTCACACCACTCTGTCGATTAGACTTGCCCATTGCCACTGAGAAAGGAAACACCAATATTACAACGGCGACTACGAACATAGCGTCGGCATTAAAAAAACGCAGGACGTACCCGACCAACAACTGCAATGAACGTCAACTATCCGATCCACTAGCATGACTAGGTGCTCGGATCATGCGTCACTATATGTTCCGGTTTGATCTGGCCGCTGACGGGGGTGTGCTTAGAAGTAGAAAAGATCTCCTTTTTGCGTTGCTATTGCCTGAAAAGGTCATGGTTTAATGTAAATCGAAATGTTACAAGATTCTCCATGCAATAGGGCGCCCAAGTTTTTATATCTCGAGTTGTACATTTTGCATTTTTAAAGCTATTGCAGAGACCGTTTAAATGGTTCTGCATAAAAACCCTTCATACGCATTCTTCATTGCAAATGAATTATTAATGGTAGTTAGATGAAAACAAAAGTATTTGCTCCCGCACGAGTCCTCCAGCTACATCGTGACAGTCATCTTTTTGAGTTTTTCCCGCCCTTTAAAAATTTTCGCTGCCACCAGCTCGAGGTGCACTAGATTTTTGTATGTAGAAAATGTATTTAACCGATACCCCAATGGATTACGATACGAATCATAGCCGTGCTTTTCTTCGCTTTCATTGTAACTGAACAATTTTTTTTATCCGGAGTCGGATTTAAATGAGGTGTGGACCGAAAGTCTGTCTACTGAGGTATAATAGGAACTAATTAAAGTAGACTCGACGGGCTCAAGCAATACAAGCAATAGAACAGTTCTTGTGTCTTAGTAGATGAGAAACTTGTACTCGCGGGACATGGCTAGCCCAGCTGTCAACTCTTAATGTGATAAACAGGTGTTTAATATTTACACGCTTCGTCGCCCTTTCGCTATTAATAGACTGAGATTCTTAATGGAGTCTTGCGGCCTTAGAAAACCTGTGGGAAACAAACTTGTACGCGATTGCTGGGAATAGAGGAACTTGAAGTCAACGAAATTTGCGAAAAGGCGAAAAATAACCTACATGCGTGTCATCACTTTCATTATCCTTCCATTGGCATTTCATAGATATTGGCTTGCATTCGTTCGTGCTAGATAACAACAGATAAGTTGCTTGAATATCGTATGATATATGTGCGGAAAAAATCGGTCCGCTTAACGATGCACAACCTTGCAACGACAGAACCCGATGAACGGATTTTTTTTACTTATGAATGTAGAAATACATTTATTTGTAGAATAGATAGCGAGAAGAGAAACTACGATTTAATGCAAATACACGGGGAAAACACGTGAAACCCGGGTTAAACATATATAGCGAGCATTTTGGAAACGTGGTTCGTACAGAAATAAATCTGCTGCGCCTAGCTACTGCAGATCCAGATAGATTTAGTTCGTTTTCGAGACATGCGAAATGGTCAACGTTTACTTCAATGCAGATACGGCGCAGACGGAAAACGAAGCTTGGATGCGTCGGGAGTTGTCTTGGCGATAGCAAGTCGAATAACGGAGTGAAGTCTAACACAATCCTGAAACACAGTGAATCATTTTTGCCCGCCGGTCCGCAAAGACATCAAGCTCGTTGCCACAAAGAAATGCTCTAGACCACGGGTTGATACGCCTAGAAAAAGAATCAGGCTAAAAAAACAGAGACAGCTATTATGGTCGTTAGCTTCGCTCCATCTGCCCGAATCGCTCGTATGGGATGCTGTTCCCCGACAGGCCGTGGAAACAATACAACATAGCGATACCGAGATCAGTTGCGGAAGGGAAAACTAAGAGTACATTATAGAGACATATAACAAGAAAAACATACAAGAAGCATACAATAAAATATAATAATATAGGCTATAAATTTATGATAACATGTCTGTAATTCGTTTCCTAAATCACGGATCTTTTCAAGCAACGTTTCCCTCAAAACAGGGCACACCGAGCATTCTGTATGTATAGACGAAACGCTTGCATTAGAATGGTGCTTGTGGCCGTCGCTTCTCTAAATTTGTGATTGATTGATAGGTCTCTCGCGTGGCTGGAAACGTATCATATAGATGTAGTGTTCCTCTGAGTAAGTGGAGCCTTGGATGATGTATGTTAAGTGTTCAAGGCTTGACCACTAATAAACTTATGTGAAAGCAGTAGACAGGCCGGTTAATGAAACATCAAGTTGCCAATGCGCAATATCGATGTCACCCTTATAACATATAGATAAAGCAAAGGAATAAAAATATCGATTGAATTGCAGTTTGACTGCATTTTCAAAGATGATCTGCTTAAACTCCGGCACAATTGTCACTCACTGCAAGGTATATGCTTTACGAGCACCATAGGTCCCGCCTTTTGGCCTATTATGGTCATCTTTGTAGCTGCAGCCATCAGGACTGCAACACTCGTGTTGTCCTTAATATCAATTGCTGTAGCGTCAAAATCGAACTACACATAGCAAATCAAATTGATTGCCAAACCGGCGACTACACGGATAGGAATGGCCACATCGCTTCTGGTCGCTGGTAAATACTGCTCAAATTTGCACGAATATATATACTGCACCATCGATGCGAACGTACCAGTTTAATGCAGTTGGATAGTTTCAATAAGGGCAGTGGGTAAAGTGAGTGCCCGCTAAACTTGAGGACAAGTGATAGAGCCAGTAAGGGGTTGCTGAGTTTTACCCACTGTTATTATGGCATAATCGTTCAAGTGCACGCTCTTTAATGACCAGGCTGCTCAGAAAGCCATAATATACCTGGACACAGCTCCAATATGCGGAATCAATGGCAACTCACAGCGTTAGCTTCGGAAACAAATCCAGGCAGAAACAATTCAAGAAGCTCAGCTAAGACCTACAGTTGAGAAAAATCGAAGTTAGATCACGCCTGCTCAAGTAGAACTTCTAACTCAGCCCTAGAAGCGACCTTCTCGACTTGGACACTCCCATTTTTTAGTGGATGTTTGCCGTTAAACCTTAGAATTTCTGAATTTTGAGATGAGTAAGTTCGGTACATGCTGGTGTTTTCAATTTATTATCTAGTCGCTTACTGCTGCATTTATTGCTGGCTGCGATATTTCACCGAAATGTACTACTTCTGCATCAAATGCTGTTTTTTTTCACTAATGAAAATCTTTCTGAAGATGAACTTTCCTAAGCGCAGTACTAATTCCTTTTTCCTAAGAGCCGTCACAACCAGGTCGCAAGCGCTTAAGGCTTGAAGCCTGAAATTTTTCCTCAGAACCAATCAGTGTCTGAATTTACACGATGATTTAATTTTACTGTTTTTTAACGATAATGTGGATGAGGAAAATACTAATTGGGTTGCTGGACTATTTAGATATTTTGAAATTCTTTGAAAATGTCTCGTTTAAACTACGAGCTTTGTCAGACTGTTCGTCATAGTGAAGATTCGCCTCTTTGTTATTTTTGGTACGAAACAACGCCGGCTCTTTCTAGAATAAATCTGCATAGTGCATTAAGCATAGTGGAAGACGCTTTCGTATTTTTACTGAAGATCAGCCATTGTCCAGTCTCTTCGCGCGGTATAAACTCCTACCGCGATGACAAACTTTTCTTTGCCTTCGAAAAATGCAAGGAGGATACCTATGATGCAATGCGGATTAATTAGTTAAATAGGAATCAAATTTATAGGATCAAAATGCACCGAATAGCGTAAAAAGCCAGCTTCGATTATTTCGGCTAGGCATAGGGATTAGGGACTGTTTTTAAATGAAGAATGCCTGTTTTAAACCGAATCGACTTTTTTTAAGCGATTGCCCTTCTAGAATTTTTAGCCTACTTTTAGAATTGAGCTTCGCTTAATTGTCTGTGTGGCGCGTTCTGAGTGAAACTTTACCGAGTCTATATTTACCAATATGGCCTGACGCAAGAGAATGAATATGTTGAGAAAATGAATAGTAAAGCGGTTCGGGTGCCGACTTGAAGATATAATCCGGGTCGTTGGAAAAATAAACAAAACCGCTGCAAAAAGTTCCTTTGGCGCATGCAAAAATCTTTCATTACAATATCTATCCTTGTTCGGACACAATTTTAGAAACAAAGCGTACACCGAATTTCGAAATTACCCGGGCCGTTTTGTATATCCAATCTGGAAAAGCTACTTATATCTATGCAGAATAGGACACACCTTTATGCTGTTGAACCTACTCTGATATAAACGCCCGTATGACTAAACCTAAATGCAATGTTAGCCAGATTAACGATAGTCAATCGGTTTTAGGGAAGTCGTTTGCTTCGTCGCAGTATCTCCGTCAAGCAAAGTTGTGCGCTTCTGAACGGGCTACCATTTGTTCACTATTCTCAATAGAGCGGTACGCCAGCTAAAGTAACTGGCTATTAAGGATTTCAATGTGACATTCGATCAATAGATGTTTTCTAGTGAATGTGGTTAAGGGTACCTTCCGTGGAAACCACTCGATTCTCAGGGTAGTCTCAAAAAAATTGACACTTTCGACTATATGATTTCTTTCTCTTGCACAAATTGTGCCCGCGCAAATGGTGCCCCTATACTCCATTGCTATTCAATGCAGCCATTAGAGGCAATAACTGTTGATATCGTGAGTTACCTGTTCATCTAGCGCCGTCCAATGTTCGAGCAAGTCGGCCTCAGTATAACCATAGTTTTCATTTCCATTGGCGACCAGTGACGTCTTCAGTAATATCATGAAAAGTAGAACGTTACCGTAAATGCTTAGTTGTAAAAGTATTCTTTAATGGGTTCCTGTTGAGCTCAATATGAGAATAAGGACTATCTACTTCTCCTAGTTGCAACGGAAACTTTGAGAACGAACCTACGATTCTGGTACCACCGAACTGACCGTGTTTAACTACTACTTTATGAGTATGTATTCCCGTTTCTTAAAGGTCTCCAAAAATTAAGCAGTTTTTAAACTTCGATGCATAACTAGTTTTTCTTACAGAACCACAAAAATTAAAACTAGTTCAATTGTGTATGCCCGCACGAACTACAACTATTTGGCTTCCTGCACGCGAACTATGTGCAATCTAAAAAAGCACGATTCGAAACAAATATGCTTCCAAATAATAGACACAAGACCCTCGTCCTCGTCACATCATTTTCCGCCGATGGTAGCTACAGAATGCCAGAAATTATCTTTGAAGTGACATGCGGCTAAATACGAGTTACGTTCTCTATTGATATTTAGAAAAAAACAAGGTATCCTTTAGTACTACGCTCATTGTTCGCAAAGTCGCAAGTAAAGCAAACTCTCATAAGACGATAATAATTATTCGGTTTAAATTTGGCGCCATGAGCATAATCGAGCTTAGTTAACCCTGACATGGTTATGGAACACAACACCCTTTAAACCGTCTGCAACTTTTTAGAAAAAGAAGAAAATTCAAAATCGGTTGCTGTAGCCTATTTTTAATGTCAAATGAAGCGAGCTATTCTAATGGGTGCGATCCGCGTTTTTGTTTATCACTAACAGAGGAAGGTTGATAGCTCTAATCTAGCTTATGTAACACGCTTTCGGCGAGATCTTAGATAGAATTTCAACGTTCTTATTCTAACAGCGTCTATTTGTCCAATGCTGTTTCCTTTTCTTTTTTTTTTTTTTTTTTTTTTTATTAGCAAGCGTATACGGGTCCGCAACGGAACACGTGAAGTTGACCATAGTTCTTTAGCTAGTAATCGAACATCAGACAGTACGTGATATCTAACTGTAGGCTGTGAGAAATATTAACGGGAGATATTTTACATCTTCTTTTCTTTTTATCGAATCATTTCTTATTAGCAATATAAACATAGGATACGTATTGGAATATAGAATTATCTTTGGTGAAATAACTTTTAGCGACCCGTTGATCCGATAACGTCTTGCGATGAAACGTAACGAAATAATTGTTCATAATTACGAAAAGTAACAGTATAATTCATCCTAGCTTGATATATATATATATATCACGGCCGTGTTATATTAATGTGTTAACCTCTATTATTTCTATTATAGATGATCGCATTAGTTAAGGATATCTGTTAACCGCTGCTTTGGGGCACACGTATTTGATATGCATAGTATGATATATCATCACTGTGACGTAGGCAAATCTGCCTGTGAAAGTTAGGCGGCGTCTAGTGTGAATATCTTATCAAAACCTACTTCTGCGCGTCCAAGCTGGTTCTTGACTTTATTATATTGAACCGCGCCATCTGCAATCCTTGCCTTAAAGAGCATACAAGGTATATACTTAATTTTGTATTAGAAAAAACTATGCACATAAATAAGCATGTTATGATCAATTCTGATCAAACGGCGTGGTTGTAGACGGTTATCCTGGATTTGAATATTAGCTAAATAATAGAAAGTACAAAAATATACTTTTTTTTTTTTTTAATTAAATTCCAAAATGTTGCGAATAGGTGCTGTTGATGAGAATATATTTAAATGTATATATTAACTATATATTTAAATAAGAAGCCTTTCTACGCTATCAACGCAGCTAGGTGTGACCGAGGGCATCCGACGTGGGTTTAGGTCTAGTATTTCTGAAAGTAGCATAGCACTCGATAAGCGGCATGCGTTCAGGCCCGTCATGGCTAAGGTCTGGATTACAAAACTATATATAGTTTTCTAGCAAAGAGCCAGCAAACAAATCTGAGTGAGGAACCTAATCGGAGCCAACATCGATCCAATAGGCCTAGTTCGTTTATAACATACTGAATATATTATACATACCTGGCCGTGTATAAATCGCAATGAGTACGCATTCTACGATATCACTCGTACGGGCAACCAAAATCAGATACGTCTAAGAAGAAAACGAAGCTGCATAGATGAACATAATAAGGTTTTCTCGCAGTCTAAATGTTAAGCACCCGTCTTTATGTATTCTTTTCGTTTGTCAGCGTGGCCAGAGCAGCATCTCGAATATCGTGCGCGCGACATTTAATTTTTGCACCTTGTTTTATAGAATGTATTTAACAGGAGTAGCGTTCTTGCTCAAAGGATAAGTATTGTCAAATGTATGAAACTCGTCTCTGCAGGATCGAGGTAACGATTTCTTTTTCTGCATATTCGTGGAACGATATAGATTTAGTTTTGAAATAGTTATACAGAAGAATTTTTTCTAAGTATTTTCGTCAGTCAATAAAAATAGGGATTAAAATTATTGAACGTTGAAGATCTGCAGGATAAAAGAAGCGGCTGAAATAGAAGCGGAATTGATAATTTTCGTAATGCACAAAAAAATAATTTAAGGGGCGCAAAGCACACACACTGTTTGACAAGTAAAAAAGTTCTGTCTAAATATGCTTCACTGTACATGAATTAGTCGCTATAGGTATATCCCAAAAAATCTTCTCTATCTACGTTTTGCTCAGAAATCCAACTAGAAATAAACTGCACAATTATGAAGTTCGTATCTCATGATTAGTCTATTAGGTGTTTAGATAAGTATCTGCAAATAGAACTTGATTCAATGCGTGCACTATCAGGGCGTTCGTGTACATCTTCCTCATGCGTTAGCGAAGCTCGAATCATATGGCAGTCTTCCGTAGGAAAATAATTGTGTCGGGAGTCTGTAAAGTTTCTTACAGAAAAAATTTATATTGTAAGGAATCTAGACGTGAGTCATATGTATTTGAACCTAACATACTTCTAAAACGAGTAATTAGATGTAACAAAAAAAATGCTTAATGATCTGCTTCACCTATCAGTCCACTAAGAGTTTATATGCGAATGCACGATGCCGATGTACGCAGGCCCACGAAGTGGCGGCCGTCGTCGTTTAAGGCGTCAGATCGTTGTTAAGTTTCTCGTCCGGGTTTTAATCGGTTAGAAGCTGTTTCGTACAATGCGCCCTATTAATTACACAGTTACCAATAGAATCGTAAGAGTGGCGTAATCTCAACGTCGAAGAATGTCAACACCAAATACCTACAAATGATTGAATAGCCAGTAGACGGTATTTAATCTAAAATATTGTTATCACCTTTGAACAATGAAATTGGTTTTTCTAGAGCTTTGTTCTGCATGTATGTATTATCAAACGGACAAACGCAGAGTCCAATAATTATAATTAAACTATGACACAATCCCGAATTAGTTCATCATACCAATATGCACGAACGTAGTGTTGTTATTTAACCTTGTGATCGATGAAATGACGGATTTACTAGCTTGATATTGTTTTTCCTTATTTGTCATTGGTTTTTTTCCTGTAATTCATGCCGAGAGAGAAAGAGTAAAGAACTTGAAGATACATGTATTACCCGACATACAGAAACGAAAGGCATATGCAAGGAAGATTGCGGGGCACGCCCAGACGTCAAGTACCGCGTGACTTCTACGATTTCATCACTGATGCCATATCATGTATCGTTAATTTATTAGCTCCGGCAAACTACTGGGCGAATAATAGTCGGGTACGTACGCTGCCACCACAAGAGTTATCGTCAATTATCTCGTTACTCTTCGCTTGATGATTTGCACCACACACAAACTTCGGTAGGGCATTTTGTGACGGCCAAATTTCAACAAACTGAAGTAAAATGACCAGACATTCGATTGAGATCGATTTCTGTCACAATCGAGTAGCCGAACTCAAGCCTAATGTAAAAAACAGTATTGCTGTTATTAGATTTATATTAAACGAGACAGTAAAACAACCTGTTCTAGTTAAATACTCAACGTTTAGATAAAGAATATGTATAAGACTTAGTTTTTCTCAAACAAAATTTCTAACTTTTCACCCTTCACCACGCCACCGCTTCCTTTTGTTTTTATTCCGCCCCTTTTTTTGCCCCCCTTTTTAAAAAAGGAATATCATTTCTTAATAGACTAATCTATTAAAGCACTGCCTACCAATTATTTTAAGGGTAGCTATTATTAATAACGTCAGAGTGTGTCTCTGAATCAACTGCATTTTGAGAAGCAATCCGCAGTACTTTATTGGTGCCAAAATAGCACTTTCTGGGTTTTGTAAAAAAAAAAAGTGATAAAAGATTTTAAAAAATGAAGGAGTGACAACACTGAGCATCAGGACCAGGAAAAACTAAAATAGTGCTATGCCTTTTTGAGACGCCTTGTGACGCAAGGGTAAAGTAACCCGAATTAAGTACAATACGCACATTATAGGATCAGATTCAAGCTATTTTACCTTGGTAGGCCTATTTCAAATCTAATCTACTAGTTCGATGTTGTGATATTTTGTATAGTCTTGATGAACGAACCGAAGGAAGTAAGCAGACCAAAAAACTACGCCTTCAAGTGTTGACTGCTTCTGATAAATGATTTATCAAATCTGGGCATTATATACGCGACCATTAGCATTTAGTGATTGCACAAACGAAAGCTGATAATAGGCTTATTTAGAAACTGATTTGACAATCTAACCGTTTTGGGGCATGAGAAACCATATGGTCGCCATCGTTGTTTTGTTTAGATTTGCCGCGGAGTTTCCTATAGCGGCAGCATATTTGACGCGTCACTATATATCGTTTCACACAATCATTGGTTCTATTGTTCTTATATAGATAGTGACACGAATCTCAACATAAAAATACTACTTTTCATGTAATACTGGGTTATTAACACCCAGTCGGACAAATAATCAACGACGCCAACTTTTGGAAAAAGCCACGTCGTCTCTTATTAATCATAGCAAACCTGAATGAGTTTGCGGTATAGATACATCAATTTACACCGAATGTACACTTTCTATTTAGGTAGGCCTACGGTCTTATTCTCATGGTTAGTCGTCGATCTCACACACATGAAAGAATCCAGAGGATATATATTTGCAATCGACGTGTGTTCTCAATTTGCTAACTATTCCCGTATGAATTTTTAGGTGTTGATTATTCAAGAGCTATTGAGAAGGCTGGGCATAGAAGATGTGTCAAGTTTAGTCACGAAAGACGAGCGAGATCAGGTAGTTGATCAAATCAGATATCGGTTTGGTCCTGAGAAAAACCCACACGGTGTATTTTTCAACTTAGCATTCGGTAGAATCACGCTCACCTTTCGAAAACTATGGACGCTGCATGCAGATTATGTCTTGCCTTCACAAGGACAGACTACGACTCGTAATCACCAAACAGTCAGCACATTACAACATGAACTTCAAGACGAACTTCAAAATCTAGTTTTAGATTATTTACAAGGTTCAAAAAAGCGGCCGATTCAACTTCAACCTCAAATTGGGTGCGATGATTATGTACTTCGTATTTGGTTTGGACATGGAGATGAGATTATATTGGCAAGAGATCTGTCGAGAACGGTACAATTTGATTGGGCAAAGGGTCTCCCAGCTGGCTACGAGTTATATAATTATCGTGTGGACAAAAGCATCAGTCTTAAAAAGATTGCCATTATACCAATGTCAAACTGTGGACATTGCATTCTTTCAAGCGAAAAACAAGATCAGATCGTACGACTTGATGTTATGTGGGAATTGCCGCCAGAGGGCGTGTTGCAGCTGGTACCTGAAGCACAAATTGAAGCAACATCATTGATACCGGTTGATAGAGAGCTTGTGGTAAGAGAACCCCCATTGAGTGATGGATTGCTAATAAGTAATCTGGAACTTAAAACTGAAACACTTCAGCCGCAAGAAACATTGAGAGAACCCAAAAAGTCAGCGAAGCCAGACCTCGCATTCACGGGTAAGATGTTATACTCTGAGGTGGAAAAACTGCCGAAGTTATCAGAAACAGTGAATAAAAAATGTGCAGTCGTGGCATCAAAACAACTATCTGCTGGACCTTTGTTAAACATCTCTTCCAGATCAGGAAAACAATTATTAAAAGGATCAAAAACAGTCTCTAAGAAACCAGCGACTAAGGAATTGCAGGAGACGTCTGAAAAGTTTCTGATAACAAAATCCTCTTATGATGGCAAAGTACAAACACCGAAAGGATCACAGCCGGCGTCCGAACAGATTTTATCAACAGGACTTCACAGAAACAAAAGATCAGCAGGATTAGAATCCGAACCACCCTCGTCACCGACGAAAGAATACTCTCCGAAATTATCCCCAAAATCATCAAAGCTATCTATGAAGCATGTTACGTCCTTTATCAGCGTGCTCTTGAAAACATCGGTATTGAAAGCACTATCCAGGCAAGCCGTTACTAAACAGCCTTCAGGTAGGGCAATTACAAAAACAGCGTTAAATATACAACCTACAAAGCCGATCATGGTAACGCCCGATGAGCCACCTAATATGCAATCATCGTTAGTGGAAGGGTCCCTTAAAGAACCATTATTAAGAACGGTACCAGCCCAAGCAGCTAATGAGATGAAGTCATTAAAAGGGACACCCGATGCAAAACAGGGACAGCCAGAAATCAGTGACATCAAACCGATAACGAGTCGACTAGAGGCAATACCTGAAAAAAAGGATGTTGTTCAGCGACCTGGGCCATCTTTTGTAACAAACCCACCAGTAGCAATAGTTAAAGGTTTAAAAGCACCACGTAAGCCGGCACATAAGTCGTTGGCAGACGCATCTAATGAGGCAAAGCCTATTTTGAAAGCGAAAGACAAGAAGCCAGCGCCGTTACGGCAAATAAAGGGAAAACCTGTCAAAATACCATCGCCAATAACTGGGAAACACAAAAAAGCTGCAATACCGTCCCGCAAAGCGAAAGTTCCCACACAACCAGCGATCGTTAAACACGCAGTAGCTGAAGCAAAGAAGTTACCTCAAGAGGACAAATGTAAGGTGAAATCTCCACCACCGGCAAAGGCATTGAAGCCACGCGCACCCAAGGTACCAAAACCATATGTCGATATTAAAGATTTAAAATCTTCCTCGGAAGATGACGAGGACAGGTCAGTAGCAGGGACTCCAATCAAAACCTCTACACGATTTCTAGACGAAGATTCCTCAGTGCCGACATCAAAGGACGCTCACTCGGAAGCATCGGATCCGGTTCTTGAAGACCTAACGCCGCTCTAATCTATAACCGAACTGTCAACGGATACGTTTTAAATGTTTTCGATTTTATGATGTTCCTCGTTATAATTGAACCGAGCACAAAATTTGGTGCAGTGGTCTTAAAATCGCGCGAATTGGTTTCAGGGACATCGACTTAAAAAAAATTTGGGTAAGCTTCAAATCTTCATTGCCTGTTAGTACTTTCGGTCATACCCCTTTGCTGTACCCATACCCCCTTTGATGTATATGACAATAATAACAATCACATTGTACCTATCAAACGGCCTATTCGTCTCTGGAAGCGTATTATTGCTGATAACGCCCGGTCAAAAACACTCACTTTGGTTGTATTATTTAATATCTATGAAATGCTTCGGCACAATCCATAGAAAGATCTTTTACACATGTGAGTTCTGATAGATATATATATATATATATATATATATATATATATATATCTACATAGCGTTTGCACAAGTGCCGATAGCTAGAAGTGGTTCAGTTTCCTTGGTTCTGCACATCGTCATCATTAGCGTTACAGCCGATCAGTCCAAGATATTCGCAGCTTTTGTTGCAGTTCTTATTGTTATGGATGCCATCGGCTTTTCATCGCGCAGCATCGTCTGGGCAGAGGCTATTGCACGTTTCAGGGTTTTTTGCTATTGCCGAGTATGCCCCTGCTGTTACTGTCGCTCATGATATTCGCAGCAGAACACCACTAATGCCACCGGTACAGGGGCACCGCAACGCGATTATATTGCTGCTCTTACCGAATGACACCTGAGGCGCGGTAATTTTATCTTTATTATAAACGCACGTTAGCCACCGTTATTAGCTGTTATTCTTGTTACTACGGTCAGCTAGGTTGTGTCATCGGAATATCGCCAAAACCTTCTTCGTTTCCGTGTTCTGCGAAAACGTACGCTAATGCTGTCACCGTTGAGTAGAATAGCAATTTGTTTATGATAGCGTAGGCTAAATATTGGTAAAGCTGAAAGTTGCACTAGATACAACTGTGAAGCTACTATAGGATCCTTAGGTGTTACTTGTTCTGAAGGTAGTGTTAATTAGTTCGCGTCCGGTATCATTTGGATTTCCGAGTTCGAAGCCTTCGACTTCAAGCCAAATACGATTTTGGAGGATCGCGTACTTTTTTCCTGGCTAGTTCTTTCATTTCTATTATATATACAAGAGACGACATACCGATGTCGATTTAGAACAAAGATTAACCAATATTGTGTTAAAATCATAAAACGACTTCGTTTACTGTTCCAGAATAATAAAGCGCTAAATTAAATGGTTCCATTTAGTCGCTGACAGAGTAAAGTTCTAGGCTTGATAAAATTCGGGCTAGAGCTTCCAACAAGGCTATTGAGTCTTAGGTCATGGATCGAGCTAGTAGTAACTCAAGCTTGCCAATTTCTCTAGTTAGGAAACTCGGTTATAGTTCATGATGTACTATGAAAAAACCGACGGGACCCGTAGATGTGCCTGAATATCAATGCAGCTTAGTAGTACTAAGACATCATATTGATTTAGCAAATGGGGATGATCGGATAGGTCAAGATGAGTTAATTACATACAAATCAAGCTGTGATATGCAAGCCATCATCAGATCCGCAACTGAGCGCCTTCCTAGAAATACGCAATTCCCACCAGACGTTTATTTGTCAACAACACCATTCTGACTATAGATAAGAGATCATTATGTGAAGTGAGCACCCAAACGACAGTAATTACCCTACGGCGAAATCCACTTGCCTGAAAATAGATCTGTAATTAGTGATAATTACATGTTAAAATTGTTTCCGTGGTTCATTGAATAAGTTTTAATAATTATATACCAAGCAGCTCGTTAATTCTCTCTTTAGTGCCACAGTACATGCCAAGTAATGTTAGAATCAGGTCAGTTTGTTTAGGTCTTAGGCCAGGCTTACGGGTTCTGTGCTGGGCTCTGAAGCAATTCCTAAGAGCGGTACACGACGTAATATTAAAAGTATGCGCACTTTAATGCCTTTTCTTACTGTTGAATGATAGAACTAAAAACAAGAAAAAGCTGTTAGATTTTCCCTAAATCTCGAGGGTGAAACTTGGCCTTTCATTTGTTGGTTTCTAATTATAATACTGAGTCACCTGTCACTTTTTTAAAGTACCTGTAGACTAAATCACTAGAAGCAGTGAACGATAAATGACGGTGGACATAGTGAAATTATTTGGCGGTCAGGAAGACAAACACTGAACAAAGCAAGAGACTGAGTTAGCTAGGATCCTATACTGGTATCAATATATGGTAAATACTTATACAGGTTCCTGTGAGTTGCATGTACTCTTGCATACAGCATGATATGTGTGTTTGCTAGTTTCCAAGTAGTCATCTTTAGTACAGTGTCGTACATTGATATGTAATAAAATAAAAAATGCTCCCGGTTTTTTTACATTGCTGCACATACGTATGGGTTGTCCTGTAATAATAACTAGCATTTTAACCAGTTACTAGTAAAACGGAACATAGCTTATTGTCATGTATACAGTACGAGCCGTGAGCTAAATGTTATTACTATTATATATTATACATAGAAAATACTATATAAAAAAAAAAGTAGCTGATTTCAGATTGCCTCCATACTGGGTGGATCAACTGTATCGCGCAGTGTTAGACGAAGATGAATGAGAAATTACGGTCGATGTAACTGACGTTGTAGGTGGAAGGTATTAGAACTGTTAATTAGACAATGATAGAGGTTCGGTGCTAAGGGACGACTTCATATGACGTAATACCCCCATACATCGAGGGTTGTTCCTTATCGTAGCGTGACCATTGTGTTTTGCAGAATTACCTTTCCGACTCATATGCTCGAAGTTATTTAAAAAAGTAATCCCTTATAATAGTATATAATATTTAAATTTCCAGGCGAGGCCAAGTGAAAAAATCGATACTTACCAGCTCAAACGCATTGCCTACTTGCAGCAAGTACATGAAGGCTGTGATAGCCGCAGATCGACTCGATGAGCTCGATTACACCGTCCCACTAATACGATTCGATCTTGATATTGAATAAAAGCAAAAGTTCTTATGATCCTTTTTTAAAATCAAGAATTTAAACGGTTCATAAGCTAAAGGTTCATAGCCTAGTAGGAATGTATCAAGAAAAGGCTGATACATTTTTTTATATTATTCAATTCATTGCCTCATTTGATAATTATTAATATAATATTCTACGAACAGCTTCTATTTTCCCATTAGTATTATATCTATATTTGAGAAATGTAGAATTAATTATGCCTATTGAAAACCTGTCACAGCGGTCGCAACAATATGCCTATCTTGCCGGCTTGCTATTTTGGCCTTAATTATTGTGGACGCGCTTACAAAGTGCAAGCGGTGAGTTTTCAGTATAATCGTATTATCACTATCTAGCGTAACTTCAGCAGTTCAATAATCTGCTTCAGTAAAAGGAAGTAGAAGCAAGTTGAAAAGGTGCCGTTTTTTAGTGCGAACCAGCCCTTCGTAGTTTTACCGGAAGCCGGCTTGTCCTTAAGACCTGTTCGCAACAAGGCAACTTTGTTCAGGTCTATATCGGCCTGGGCCGAAACTCATGTCAGAGGAGCCTGAAAGCTAGGTGTCCCTTGGGTGTAGCACGCGATGGAGCAAATAGAGCTGGTATGAATGAACCAATATCTGATTCAAAAGTAAATTGTTAGGAAGGACTCAGTTAGCATAGTTACGTCGACATATAAAATGTTACCAAAGAGACATTCTACTGCAAGACCTACTCGTCGCGTAACGAAAGTTTTGAGACAAGGACAACAGCGACATGTTATAGAAAGAGTTCAATATGTTTTGCAGCAGGTATTTGGATAAACTTCTTGAAATTTTTATTACGCAGTAGCGTATCGGGAGATACGTTGTTCGGCGATTATAACAGTGATCCTAGTTTTGGACGTACATTGCGGTACGTATAGCAAATATGGCCGGAGTCGACTGTCATACCTGAACTTTATCAAAGAAGACCTATTGTAAGCAAAATACATATGATAGCGCTAGAAGTGATTGAACTTTGAGAACCTGAAAAGCTGTCCTCAAAGGGAAAGGACTTTGTTTCTCAGCGAATGGAACTCATTGGTGTTAGTGTTCGGGGCAACATCTTTAGAACCGGTTAACTGGTAGATTGATATCAGCTTGGATCATACACCTAATTCCTGTCATTGTCGCAAATACGTCCCGTAAAGAAGCATACGATTTTTCATCAAAAGCTTGGGGTAATTTTGAGGTTCATTTTTAAACAATTCGCTTTTTTACAATCTTAGGGATATTCTCTTCTTCGTGAACAGAGTAACGCAAAAGCATTTGGTACGTGTCACCCAAGTAACGCAAGTGATCGATGCAGGTCACTGGGTTTGTCTGCATAATGTTTTTTCGCATTTCCAAAGCGTAAATGATTGCGACTTGAATGACTGAACTATCGAGTCATTTACGCAGTTACGCACGTAAAGATCTTCTTATTTGATTGTTTCTTTACATTTTCCATCCTCAAATTTAGTCTATCGCTGACAGTTAGAAGGTTAAATATCGGTTATCATGTCGAGACTGAACTGCGGAGGTCGTAACAGGGTTTTCTGACGTAGATAGTGTGCGGTAGCGACCATTCTATACGCTAAGGAGACCATTTCTTCTGGCGGAAAATCAGCAAGAAGTTCAGGAAAAAAATTATTCGCACCCTTTCCATCACGATGCTATGATCCAGTGTCACCAATCAGTAGTCCTGTGAAGGTCTCTGAAAATAAACGATAAGCACACCATGATTCTACTCAGCCTCGGCTTACCCATGAGTACATGCAATGTGCTAATATGCTTTGAGAACTTCGTGAAAACTATCTGTATCATCTTTACACAGTTTTGGCTCTTCAAAGAATGTTCTTTTTTTATAATAATATGCTATCTCTCTTTAATCTCGTATGTTATACTATGAAAAACTGCCATATGAAATAAAAGCCTATAGGCAGCCAGTTCTAAAACAACCGCGTTAAATATAGACCCCTTGCGTTGTTATATGACTTGTTAAGAAGAGAACATGGCTATAAGAAATTCGCCAATGTGTCGCAAAAAGCTTGAGCTGAAGTTAGCTGTTACGACTACCCCAGCTAGTAAGAAACTTGAGGGAACCGAAAGCTACGGCTATCGGAGCACAGGTAACAAAACGTGGACCTAATTAAAAAAAAGAAAAAAAAAACCTATTTTTGCCTTTTACTAAGGGAGTTACAGCCAGAGCTTGATCCGCTCGAGGGCAACGTTACGGCGAAAAAGGTCCAACAGCTTAAGAACAGGGATAAACGACGAAAAAACTATGACGGAACAGACTAGTAGAAGTCGGCTTGATCCTTAAAAGAAACAAAATGATAAGCCAAAGCATATATGCATCGGATATGTTGTAAGATTGTTGTCTGAGCTTTCGTCGAGGAAAACCACATGACAAGAATGTGTAGACGATCTAAATCGGTGGTATATATATCCAATTATATTATAATGTTGTGATGATTAATGCGTGATAATTCCATTCAGCTATATCGAAGCAAACATAACAAAACATGTCAGCTGTATGACATCGTTTGATAAAATATGGTACCACTGCTAAAAAGGCTTAAAAAGCAATATTTAAAAGTAAAGTGTATCGTAGGTATAAACGTACGTCGAAGGCCTCTTATTTGGTGTCGATCGAACGTCTGTGTCTATGAGACTCACAGGTGAATTTTACATTTGACTTAACGAGTATGATAATGTCAATTAAAAAAAAAAAACCTGTATTGATTTCGTTTCTTGAGTTTACTGCTCATGGTCCTTGGCGTTGCTCTGATTGAAAGGAAAGAGAGGTAATGACGATTTCCTGTCAAAATATCATAGCAAAAGCTATTTAGACTATGATGTTTATCTTTAGTACGTCCGTGCGTAGTTTTGCCTATAGTTTGTCATCGTCTGGGTTAGGTATTACTATTACAACTATTTATAATTTCAAGCATTTTAAAGCATTAAAGTCATTGCTATGAGATCATTTTGGCTAAATACATGATGAAAACCCTGTATTGAATATCTTGTTGTTTATCAATTGTCTATTCGTCGTGTAGGTTTCTTCCATCGAGAACTCATTATCGCCCTTCTCAGACAATAATCTGGGTCTATCTTTGCCGCTTTTCATCGTACTACCTAATAAACCGGCTGTGTTTCGGCGCTTTCGGGGTTTTTCATCCGAAGTGAGCCCAAATTTTGTAGATAAATAAAGATATGAACAGGAAGTTAGCACAAAGCGATTATACGGGAAGATGTGTGAGCCTAGAATCTACTTTACTAGCGCAGGTTTTACTAAACCATATAAGAACATCTATTTTTTAATACCTAAATGCTATACACTTTAATCGATGTCACTTTCCTATCGCTTCTTCATTGCTGGCAAGCGGATCATCCAGTTTCAGTCCTTCAGGGTGTCGACACACAAATAAGTGATATCTCTAGCCATACCACATTGCCTCGCAACTGTGCTAATGTCTCGCGATCATTCAACATATGAAGCGTCCATGCAGAGAGTTCTCAAGGAGCGATTTGATCAGTTCAGTCAGGTTTCAGATAGGGCCCATAGATAATCTGTGTATTGTCAGACGGCGCCGTACACGTCTCCGGGTCTAGTTGACTTTATGAAGAAGGCAGCCCCATTGACAGCAGCCGTCAATGGTAATGGTATCAAGAACAAAATTTGGAATCAAACAAAGCAGATCACTACTTCGAGACTAAACAATATCACGTACATAAGTTGGACCTAGGTAAAGCCATTTGACTTTTACCTTTCCTCCGCCGTCTCTTTCTATCATTATGACCATCGTTATCTTCCAGATATCGATAGCATCGATTGAAATTCCGTTGATAGCCGATCCCCATCCGGACTCCCATTGAACCAGCTCTAGCGGTAGGCACTCGTTGAAGATTCCATAGGTCTCTTCGTTAATGTTCCACTTGTCGCTAACTGCAGTTAACGCTCCCCATAGTAACAGCAATAGTGAAAAGTGGTTCCATTAAAAACGAGCAGTTAATTAGTGCATATCAATTCTTGTGAAGTTAAGTTGCTTAACATTAATTAAGTTGTTTTTAATGAAAAGATCGGAGACGAGAAAACAATGGATCTACAGAAAAGGAGTGCGTATATATATATGCTCGCACAATTAATGAGATAGTAAAAGATGAGGCAAAAACAGATAAATGGATTTCGCTAAGAAAAAGGCAGAGACGAGCGTTGAACGTTAGAAAATAAACGTAGCTTAAATCTATGTCTATGATCTTCATTTTCAGATATATTGTGAGAACGAATAAATTGAATTCTATATCATGAATTGGAAAATGCCTTTTTATGGTACAGGTGATGGTACCAAAATTTCAGTTTGGCGCATCCGATGCATAGTAATAGCGCGGAGTTAAAAAATTTCGCAGAGGTGTATTATTGATTGAACTTCAACCACAGCACCCACTTGCCTCAGTGAATTCAAAATGCACGACGCCGTTTCAGAATTTCCTCGTTAGGAATTATTGAAGTACATCAGGTCGTCATAAAGTAGTTCCAGGTAAATATCTATTCAAAAAGCAACGAGCAGCTATAATAATGCGATTTTTGCCGCCCACATATTTTTGGAGACTGCGCATCATGATCGTAGTTCTATAGAAAAAAGTTAGCAGATATGTATTTGCCACCTCTGAGCATAACATAAGTGCCAGTTCATTGCAAAAAGAAAGATTCATTGACGGAGTCAGGTCTTTTGTGCAGCAAAAAAAACTACGATTTAACTATATAGACAGAATCAAAGTCGGCTAGAAGATGGCTGATGGCTTACTAGAGTTTTAAATACGGTGAAGCACATAATATACATGTAGTTTCCGAGCTTTGTAAGGTACTTGATAAATTTAGATTAGATACGAATTTTTCTTGTATATATAATAGCTTGGTAGCTAAGAAATTTGCGAATAATACGTGATGCTACTGTATAAACAAGGAGTTATCAATTAAACGGTATCGGGCTTCATGATGAACATCATCGAAGTAGATTGCCATGTATTTTAGTATTTCTCTTTCTTGTTTGACTGTGTTTCGTTGAATCTAGCGCATAGTGAAGACAAGCCAAATCACGTAACGATTTGTTAATAACACACCAATATATGCCGACGACCCCACCAACCGTTTACACTCAAATATTAACAAGTGCCGCTTGTTTTTGATGGAACACGTCGGCTAACCGCTTCCCTTTTTCAGCAAATACAAACTCCACTTAGGGAAGTGACTAAAATATATAAATGAATCTGTGTTTAATTCTCTAGCAACAGCGGTGTATCATAACGATGCTGCTACATGCAGTAACATCTCAGACATTTCCTATGCCTGTTCCGAAGTTAGCATAGTATGTTGAAGTGCATACTCTTGGTTGCTTCGCTACACGTTAAGACAATGACCTGGTTCTTATTTCGTATACTGAAGAAGATTTAAGAAAGACCAGAGGGAGCATATTACTACAGAGCATTAAAATTATACGTTTCTGACGGCCCCACAAGCTATCATATTCAAGCCATGCAGTAACTCGACCTATGGACCTTTCACGATCTTGGAACCTCTGTTCATTGGTACCTAGTGAACGCTTGAGCGGTTTATTTTTACTAGTCAGCGACTCAAAAATGCCGTTTGTAGATCAAATTTGAGAAAGCTCTAGGTCTCAGTTTTACCTAGTACGAAACTCAAATTATAGGTGTAAAACATGGCAGGTAGCTTTTATCTCTAACTTTACAGACCGATCCGTTTAAATTTGGATTGTTTTTTGCGCGCGGCTTGACAAATGCGTTCGTCTAGAACCGGTATTACATGTCCGTTCTGAAAAAGATGAAAACAAACTGGTATGTATACATGATAGAAAAGACAACAACAAAGCTAACCTACGACTCTGCCTCCTCGCCTTGGGCGAAGTACCTTCGGTAACTTCATATCGACAATGCACGACATAGCAAACGAGCATGTTACTGAAACTCGAACGTGGTACAGTCGAACATCCACAACAGACAAGAAACAGAACCATTTTCGATAAGGTTGTTAAACGGGAATTTTCAGCTGGGTTTGGCTATCATCTTATGGATCCTTTACGAGTAGCTCGTGTATTTGTCGTGTGTCTTAGACATCGGACATATACCCTTTGGAATCCTTGTCGCACCGACAGAGAAATCAAACACAGAAATAGTCTCTGAATTGCTCGCTGTGTAAGCTTGTGTAATTTCCAGAAAAAAGGACACAACCAATGCTTATGGCTTGAGTGTGGCGCCCGGCGAAAGGGACGTCATATGTCACAGTACTTTTTTCGGAAAAGGAAAACCGTAATCGAGGAAATTTATTTTCGTGTCCGTGAGATTATGCCAAAACGTGGTAAACGTTATATATCTTTCAGTAGACCATATTAGCCGCTTAATGCAAGGTTGACTATCTCAGAATCTAAGTAGATTTTCAAATAAGCATATGGCCACCGAGCAACCTAGGTTCAAACCCATTAAATTACTATGTATGGGATATCATTAGGCTCAACGTGGTGCGGCTTCAAACATTCATAACTTCTGAATGGAACAAACGTACACGTTTACGTTGTAGTTAAACTTAGAAATATCCTTCATAATTGTTGGCATGCATAGAGCTGAAGTTCTCTATTCTGAAGTCTACGTTTTACGTCCGATATCGCCATAGGGTTTCCATCAGACCACTGGCGCCCTAGCACGAAACAAAATGTGTCTATGCCCGTTTCGAAGCCTGACCACAACATACTTCTAAAGCTAAATTTCTAGAAACTTTGAATGGTTGTCCTCTAAAAACGTGGGTTTATTTTATTCTCAGCTAATATCTTTCAGTGACTTAATTTTAATAATCACATTGGATACAAGTTTATCCTTGTAGGGGCCACAGCTTGGATATATTTTCCAACGGATCAATACTATCTAATCTATGTGTCGCTCATTAGTACTTAAAATTATTATTAAAATTTGCAAATTTCATTAAGAATAGTATTTTAAAATATGAGTAATTTCCATTTTTTTTAATCTTTTTTACAAGGTTTTAGTAAAATTCTAGCAACCTATTGGTTTATTACATATTCGTCGTCGCTGTCCACGATATTCTCGCATCTTTAGATCAATTTATTTATTACGTCTCGTCAGAAATGTTCAGCTCTGGTGTTGAAAAATTTGCCGATCCCGGCTTCAAAATTTTCTTCACTGTATAATGTAGAGCTATGGAGTTTTAACGGAAACGAAGATAATCTTCAACGAAGCGATGTTTGGAGAGTATTGCCTCTTTTACAGCTTTCATCCTGTGTGGCCTGATACTATCGTGGAGGAGGATGACGTTGCTTCGTCTATCGGGTCTGTTCTCTGTTGGATAGCTTCATTCGCTAGACGAAGCTAAGCCATACACAGATCTTGGTTGGTCCTTTTTTCATCTCAAGCATTTGCTGTATAGAACCCATCTGGTTCAAGCAAACGCAAAAAATCACCTACTTGAGATGGAGACCAGGCTTTTCTCAGGTTAAACTTATCTGCCGATGTTACCCATTCCTTTCTCTGTTTCTTCATCGGTCATAATTCTATGTAGAAACCTGTAATTTGGCTGTATAGAGAGATGTTAAAGTACAATAAAAAATCGTATTTCTTTGTGCGCTTTACCCAGTAGATAGCGCGCCCTTTTTTGCATTTTCGTTTTTGACAAAATGGATACATCACAATAGTTTCCTTCCTCGGCTAGCTGACGTATTTTTCTGCCATTTGAGGTTCTCATTAACCTCGAACAGGTCGACTGAGTTGGGATGCACCCTCCCAATCCAAAGTTCTATTTTTAAACTTCGGAAACTCCTTGGAGCAGTCTCTCCATTTTGATAGATCTCACTGTACATGGTACAAATACCCAGATTGTTTCAGCAGTTTTTTTCTTCGGTAAAAAACAACAGGGTGCAGGTTATGAAAAGGCACTTCTTTGGAGTGCACTCCATCTTTGGTGTCTGAAATTGACGTAACAGTGCGTTCATAGCAGAATAAATTTACAAATTTCAGAGAAGAAAGAACTCTTTGGAATGGTACATATCAGTCAAGTTCATTTACTCACCTTTTTCAGGTAACGTTCTAGACACAACCTGGCACGTCAAGCTTTACCTGCTGTCCTATACATTACATATGACGGCTTTTTTTATTAAGTTCATGGAACTCCTATACCCTGTGTAGGCGATGATAAAAACCGCCTGCTGCACAGCGTATCACTCCACATCTGTTAGATAGGAGAACTCTTGATCTTGTCTATGATGGTTCCGTTTGATGCAGTTCGGGATTGATCTTATTTTACCAGGCGTTCTTGAAGTGCTGGGGTTGCTGATAGACTGAACTGGCAATGGAGGTGAACAGTAACATCGTCCCTAGGAAGTAGACAAATTTGTTTCGGGTTGTCTAGTAGAATCGCACGGCTTTTTCGGGGAACGAGGCCCTTGTTCGGTGTTCAAATCCTCGAAATTCTCCACTGTGAGATCAACCCACATTAAACTATCCCCGCACACGGTAAACTTCGAAGTCGTAAGCGGCTAACAGGAACGATCGGTAACTAGGTGTTGAAGACGAAGCTACCAAGATCCTCCTGAGTCTTTCTGTAATATGCTGAACGTAACTTTGGTAGCAGAGCAGCAACCTTTATTATTAACATATAACAGCTTTTTGCCATAAAGACAGCATATCACGAATCATAACTGTGCCACTTCATTTCAGTTTCATTGCCTCGGTTTTAGTT